ATTTGGACACAATGGAACAACTTGAGGACTATGTCCATTACTGTTACAAAGAAGATACAAAATTGAAGGCTTACACATAGATGATGTGCCCAATGAATGGTGTTGAGATGTGGAAGCAATCAGGGAAAGAACCAGTGCTTTCCCTAGAATACCTTAAGCAACCTGGAAAGCCAAGAAATGCAAGAATGAGGGAACCAAATGAGGGACCTAAAGTCAAAAGCCCATAAAGCTAAGGAGATTTAAAAAGAATTTGAGTTGTAGAAAATGTAGATAGAAGGGCCACAACACCAAGACTTGCAAATCAGAGCTTCAACCCTCTGTAAGTAAAGCCCACAACATTTGTTTGTTTTTATTTATTTGGTAATCACTAACTATGATGCATCTTGTGCTTTGCAGCAGGATAATACAACAGTAGGTGAAAGTGATGTTGGAACTTTTACAAGTCAAGAGCCAATGCCAAGGAGGCCACTACCTGCTGCTGCTGCCAAATTTGCAAGTCAAAGGCCAATGCTAAGGAGGCCACCACCTACTGCTGCAACTTTTGTAAGTCAACCTCCAATGCCTATAAGACCAACACCACCTGTTACTGCAACCTCTATCACTCAAGCCTTAAGACTGACAAGGGCAGCACCAGCCAAGGGAGGCACATCCAAGAAGAGAGGGTCAACATAGTAGTATTTAGAAATACAGGATTATTTTTTGTGTTTGTAATGACAATGAACTTCATGTCAACTATTTAGTAATGTATGCTTGCTTTTTGTATTTGTAATGACAATGAAGTTAAAACTTTTATGAAGGGAAATGATGATGATGTTTATCTTTAAATTGGGGAAGGGAGGGCTAAACTATTATTATGTTTGTGTGTTTGTGTGTGTGTGTGTGTGTGTGTTTGTTTTTTGCTGGTAAACACAGTCAACCATTATAGAAGATTTAGGCACACAATTTTCCATACAAAACCTTCCATTCATTACATATCCAACAACTTACATAACAAACATATTACATAGGAAACCCAGAATATCTTCTACAACAACAATACCAAGATGATAAGCCAAGACACAACCAAACAAACCCAGAGTATCTTCTCCTTCTTCATCTTTGATATTTGATCCTCCATCTTAGTAATCCTTCGCAGGAGTCCTGGTATAACTTGCTTTGACTGACCACACATAGGTACATCAAACCATCGAAAAAATCCACATCCTCCCCCATTGAGCCTATATCCTTCGCAGCATAAGAATTGTCTTCCCGGGTTCAAGTTTGTCCAAGATGTCTTCATCACAATAGCCCTGCCACATGAGCACTGCGTTGCATCCATCCGATACATTGTTCTTCCTCTTTCTACTCTTATTTCTCTTCTTTGTCTTCTTGATGCTCTGTTTTTTTTTTTCTTTTTCCATACACAGCCATGTATATATATCTGGCTATATATCAGCGTATTGACGGGAACATTCCCTCCAATTTTATGTATGTAAAATGTCCCTTTTGCTCTCCACTAACGCTATTCCGTTAATTATTTGAATGGCAGACACAAATTGGACTTGACAGATACAAATTATTAAAGTTTAGAGACTAAAGAAACACAAACAATTGTTAAGGGACCAAATAAAAAAAACGCATATAGTTTAGGGGGTAAAACTGTAATTTACTCAAAAAAAATATTACAGTCAATGACTTAAAAAAGTATTACAATCACTACATCCATCATCCAAAGAAAGAAATTATGAAATTTTAGAATATTACAATCACTGCATACTTCATCCACACATTACAATCACAGCATACCTCATACGCATAAAGTATTACAACATGTGATTCTTAAAATATAAAAACAATTCAAACCACCAAAATCATGAACAGAGCAGTAGTAGAGATTGTATGCTTCTGTATTGTTACATCTATATCTGTTTTTGAAAACAAAAACCAACTAACATATATCATATTTTATATTTATTATTTTTAGAGTTAGATTTAAAAACAAAAAAATATAGATAAATAATACATTTATTTTTTTCAATTCAAAAAATATATTCAACTTGAAAACTCTTTTTCAACAGAATATATTTAACAATATATTTAAACTCTTTTTCAATTGAAAATACAAACAGAATATCTAAACAAATTAAAAACACAAAGTCTTATAAATTACTAAGGGTGTTCGCAGTTTGGCGGTTCGGTTGTGGCTAAAGGAACCTTAAATCGGTCATCCGTCCAAAACTAGACGGATTAGAAAAAATCAATTCGCAACCGTCTGCTCATCATCACGCATCCGTCCAAAATGCGGCGCGGTGGATCGGTTTGATTCGATTGGTGTGATCGAATCGATATATCCGCTGCTAACCCCTAGTTTTGACAACAACTCCTAGAATTTCCAAACACTGTTGTTTGGACTCTACATATCCATGTAATTTCTTTCTTCTTCTCTTTCTTTTTTTTTATTTTTTTATTTTTCAATCAAACATTACATTTATATTGGACAATTAAAGTTCATCAATAATTGCAAGAGCCAACAAGTGCAAATTAGAAAAGAAAATAAAAACTATATAGAAAAAAAGTTGCCAAAAATCAGGTCAGGTTGGATATTGAGCCAATTAAAGTTCAACAATAATTGCAAGAGTCACCAAGTACAAATTAGGAAAGAAATAAGAACTATATACAAAACAAAAATGCTAGAGGCCCTAAAAATTTTATTAAAAATTTTACCAAATGTCTCACATGGGTGTGGGATTTACATGGAACCCACATTGTATGGGCCCCACATCCATGTGAGACATTTGATAAAACTTTTGGTAGAATATTTGGGATCTCTAGTATTACTCTATACAAAAAGGATTAACAAAAATCAGGTCAGGTTGGATATTGGGCCAATTAAAGTTCAACAATAATTGCAAGAGCCACCAAGTACAAATTAGGAAACAAAATAAAAACTATATACAAAAAGGGTTGACAAATATCAGGTTGGGTTGGATATTGGGCCAATTAAAATTCAACAATAATTGCAAGAGCCACCAAGTACAAATTAAAAAAGAAAATAAAAATTATATACAAAAATCAGGTCGGGCTTGGCATTGGGCCAATTAAAGTTCAACAATAATTGAAAGAGCCACCAAATACAAATTAAGAAAAAAAATAAGAACTATATATATACAAAAGGTTTGACAAAAATCAGGCCAGTTTGAGCATTAGGCCAATTCTAATCATCACGAGCTTGACCCTAAACAAATTTTTAGATCGCAAGTTCACCACCCATTGAACCTGATAGATAATATATTTTAAAAGACTATTAAATTATTAATAAAATCAGGTCGGGCTTGGCATTGGGCCAATTAAAGATCAACAATAATTGCAAGAGCCACCAAATACAAATTAAGAAAAAAAAATAAGAACTATATATATACAAAAGGTTTGACAAAAATCAGGCCAGTTTGAGCATTAGGCCAATTCTAATCATCACGAGCTTGACCCTAAACAAATTTTTAGATCGCAAGTTCACCACCCATTGAACCTGATAGATAATATATTTTAAAAGACTATTAAATTATTAATAATTATTTAATTTTAAAACATTAACAAAATTCAATTATAAAATAAATATGAATTTTCAACAAATGTTTTCATGTCTTTTATGATTTTCTTAGGCCTGTTTGGGATAAAGATTGGAGTTAAAATGATCATATATGACAAAATATGTTATTTTAGCCAAATAGAACAAAATGTCATATTCAACCCATGATCATTTTATTTTTTCTTTTACAAAAGTCGTAAAAGGCAAAAAAACATGTCCTAAGCAAAACTTTTTAACCAAGGCCAATAACGAAAAAGTCAACTCATATCCCAAACGGAAAATGATTTGTCCCCCTAATTTTTTTCTCCTGAATCCCCCGAAATCACAGAGGAGAGAAAGAGAGGGGAAAGAGAAGAGAGGGGACACTGCTGGAAAATTTACTTTTACTGGCGTTTAAAAAACGCCGCTAAAAGTACTAAAAACGTCGCTAATTCTTTTTGTGACGTTTAGTGCAAACACCGACGACGCGGCCGTCGCTATAACTTTATGGCGTTTGAAAAACGTCGTTATATTAGTATAAGCGGCGTTTTTAAAAACGCCGCCAAATGTCCTACCTAGCTGTATTATGACGTCATTATGGACATTTAGCGGCGTTTTTAAAAACGCCATCATAGACATTTATACATTTTAAAATCTAGCCATTAAGTGGGATATAGTGACGTTTTTTAAACGCCGCCACAGCCTTTTTTTTTAATTTTTAAATTGTGCTAATTTAATATGATTGAACAAAAAAAATACCTGTCAAACAATGTTATTAAAATAATAAATAAACTAAGCTTGAAAACAAAATTAAAAATAAAAAAATAATGCATTGTATACCTAAGAATAGAAACAATTCAGATTTTAAACACATCAATTAAAATCAAAATGGTCAAGAAGTGTAATTTTCCCCAAAAAATTAAAAAGGAATAGAAAGCACACTAATATGGATCCGTTGGAGAGATTGTTTTGTTGTTTGGTTCTTTGTTAAGAATCTTATACTTTGCACATGAAAGAGAATGGAGCAGCCTAACAACATCATCATCTGTCAAGTTTAATTGAGTCATGATTCCCTGATAACTCAATCTGTCTGAGGCATTAAAAAGCAGCAGCACAGAAGCCTGTATTGATGAAATGCTAAAGCTCAAACCTCTGCGTTAAGAATCATAAATCCATGCATTACATTAAAATAAGTTTCTTCAACAAAATACCTGGCAGGTTGTCACAATGAGCTCCATAGTTTTGAGTTCAAATTTTCCATTGAGGTTACAAGTACCCAATGAATAAATCCATGTAAGTTTTCTGTGTTTTGTTTTTGTTTGATAGAATTCTCTGAAAACTTCCACACACTTAACCTAAGGAGCTTTACTACCTGTAGAATAAAAAGAAATCCAATTGCAACTATTCGTATCTCATTCTCAACAATAAGTCAAAGCAAATGCTATGAAAGATAGAATCATACCTTCTCAAGTGTTTCCTCAATGGCTTCATCACTCAATTCCTCACTCCCACCTTTCTTAAGAATATTATAAATACCACCGCCTAAGAGGAGAGCACCACTACAAAACATCAAATACATGTGTATGAGCGACAACCACACTCGAAGGAACATAATTGTCAACATCTGACCACTAATGAAAATGAACATTGAAGAGTAGATGCAAAAAAGGAACCTCAAGCACAACTTATCCTAATGCCAAAAAATGGGGAGAAAATACCTCATTGGGTTGATCCATGCTGAGAATTTGCAGAATGAAAGCAGGCTCTGCAGACAATGTGTTAGAAATTGCCCAAGATACAAACGAACAATAAAAATTAGACAAACAAAAACTGTAGGAGTAAGAACGAACAGAGTGGCAAACAGTTTATCAGTGATGGCACGGATTTGGCCTCCACCTACTGATGGTAGGAGGATCTGGGCATAGTCCCAGTGTCTCCCTAGTAGGCCCTGCCAAATCATTGGCTAAGTACACTAAGCCGTTGGAACAATCATAATTTTGGCCCTGGCCCCCAATGCACTATCTATATATACCTCGGAAAGGAGGGGAAAAGCAGCAGTAAATTATGCACATCATGAGTTCACATACGAGATTTTACATAGTGAAAAAAGAGTATACCTGCAATGCTCCTGCAAAAGAAGCAGCTAGAAGTAGAGGAGCAACATAGCCAGTTGTGTATGTCAACAGTAAGCTGCCACCTATTACTGGATCCTGTTAGGAGTTTCACATTAGTTATTTATTTATGACTGCATTTTTTGTCTCAATATTGGAACTGAGGATCGAATTAAATAATCAACCAGTAAGCATTATGCAAACTGTCAACTCAAAAGATGGATCTAGGGGTGGGCCTATGTTTGGATGAAGGGGGGCCGTGGCCCCTCCTGAGTCTCAAAATTTCTCTTGGGTAGACTTCTTGCAAACTGGGTTTCTTATAAAATTACAAATATTGGCCCCACCAATATTGTGCCAATTTTGCTCCCTCAACTGTGAATGTTAAGATAAATGCAGTCATACTAAGTTGCCTGCTTGTTATGTAATTAAATAATAGGTTTAGAAGCTCAAATGCAATGTATAGCATATATGATGCATCCAAACATGAGACATAAGAATAAGGTAAATTGCACTTTGACTTTCTTGTTTTTTGTCTAGTCATTTTGTCACTTGGCTCTCAGAAGTTATTTTTTCTTATTTTGATTTTGATATTTCAATTTATTTTTTTTTAAATTTACTTAAAAAGTTAACTTATGTTTAAAATTAGATAGAAAATGACGTATTAACACGTGGTAAATATATTTTAGGGACAATTACAAAAAATAAATAAAAGAAAAATCTCAATGTTTGTGCTTTATAACAAAATAATTTTTTTATTTTTAATTTTGTTAATTTAAACATTAATCTTTTAATTTGTTTTCAGTTTCAATCATTTTTCTATTTTTCTCAAGTAAAATCGATAAAAAAAAGACAGTATTTTACATTGAAAGCAAATTAAAAATTTAGAGTTTAAATTGATAAAATTAAAATCTCATAATTTATTTTGTTATAAGGCTTAAACATAAGTTTGGAAACTTTGCTTATTGGCTAAAAGCCACCACTTTTTTCGATTTTGTTTTATTATATTTTTAGTAACTTTTTTTAAAAATTATGTCAATTTTTTTTTACTTTTTCAGTGCATTAGACGAATCTAAAAAGAAAAAAAATTTAAAAATTTAAAAATAAAATTGAAAAGCCAAAATAAGCCATAAAAACTCCACTATTTTTTACTCTTTTTTTCGGTCTTTTCTGAATTTTTTTTAAAAAAAATTAATTTTCTGATTCGTCTCGTTGAACTGAATCTATAAACCTAAAACCTTTTGAAATTTTAAGAAAATAAAAATCGCTAAAGATGAAAAGTTTAAAAAAAAAAATACCAAATAAACAAAGATTATTTTGATTGAACAATTTGAATCAAATTCTTATATGGATAGCTTAAAGATTATTTTTTACTGAAAAAAAATTAGGATTGGATTGGGTTAGGCTTCTCTTATGCTGGGATCTCAATATAATAAAATTTGAGGGGTTAGTGGGACCCAACACAGGTTTCGTTTCGATAATTCAAACCGTTTATTTTGTAAGGCCTGTAATGTATAATATCCATGAAAAAATGTAAGGCGATTCGATAATCGTAACATTTTCATTTTATCACATTTTTCTCTAAAAATAGATTGTCTATTTCAAAAGTATATTTGTCGTCCTTTTTTTCGAATACAAATGCAATGAAATAAAAAAGTTATGATTATCAGACTGTCGTCCTTTTTTTCGAATACAAATGCAATGAAATAAAAAAGTTATGATTATCAGACCAAGCTAATTTTTTTTATAGACAATATACATTGTGAGTCCTACAAAATTAGCGGTTCGAATCATCGAACGGGACCCGTAGTGAACCCTATAGGCCCCTCAAATTTGATCATATTGAGATTTCAACCAAAAAAAAAAAAAATCCAACTATTTAGATTTCACTAATTGATTAAAAAAGTTATGATTATCAGACCGAACTAATTTTTTTTATAGACAATATACATTGTGAGTCCTACAAAATTAGCGGTTCGAATCATCGAAACGGGACCCGTAGTGAACCCTATAGGCCCCTCAAATTTGATCATATTGAGATTTCAACCAAAAAAAAAAAAAATCCAACTATTTAGATTTCACTAATTGATGAGAGAGGATTGAGTCTATTAATGGCCTCTGATTTCCCTCCATTGTTTCAAATCTTACAAGGAAAAGAACATCGGATACATATAAATAGATAAAATTTTATGAAATTTGACGATAAAAGCAAAAAAAAAATTGTTCATTTTATCTATATATATTTTGTATCCGATTATGTTTGAGAGACAAATAAAAAGACTAACCAGATGACACCACCGTGAGCACAACCAATAGGGCTAAACAAGTGAATGAAGGCATTCATGATAGGTAGTAGTAGTAGTAGAAGGGATCGGAATTTCCAACACAACTCGAACCGTACATGAAATTAATGGGTTAAGGTTAAACATTTTTCAACATGAACACGAACACGTATATGACACGACTTGTGAACCCGTATAATAAACAGGTCATGTTCGGATTGAACCCGCAAAACTCAAAAATGGCATGTCTAATCCGTTTATTTTAGTGTGTCACCCGTTAACATGAACACAACCCTCAATTCGAAAATGACCTATTTACTACCTGTGTAATCATATATATATATATATATATAGAAGTGTATGTATATATGTAGATAGATATTTATATTAATTAAATGAGAGTGATATCCTTTTTTGTTCTCCTGATTTTTTTCATTTTATTTTCTTTCAAACAAGATTTCTTTTCTTTTCTTTTCTTTTCTTCCAAATAAGATTTTCGTATTTGCTTCTCTCTCTCTCAAATAGGTTTTTTGTTGGGTCAGTCGTGTGTGTCATGTCATAGTAAATAAATAGGGTTGACACAATTATTGTGACATATAAATTCACTTCCCTTAATCTTGTGACTTTAAATGCACATATATCTTATGACATTAAATGAATAATTCTAGAAATATGATAATATATTTATACATAAAATTCATATTAAAAAATACTACAGGAATGATATAGTAGTGACATTGTCATATATATAAGTTATTTTTATAGGTGTTATGTTTTAAAATGAAAGGTTTTTATTAAGCCACATCACTATGTATGTGTTCATATATCATTTACTCTATCCAAATACTTATTAATTTTCCAGGTCAATGTTTTATAGTGTTGATTATCACAAATGTCGTAATTACATCATCTTCAGTCATAATTAAAATAAAATAAAAATTGAGTTATAACCAAACACTATATAAGATATGACCAAACAACTTTTGAATAATAACCAAAATAATATCATAACTAATACACAATGAGTCATAATCAAGTCATGACTAAAACTACAATAGATTATAATGAAAAATTACAAAAGTTGTAATGAGGGCATATAATAAAATTTCTCTAGTTTTTCATTTTGGGTTGAATAATGCTAAGAACCCCAAATGTTGTTGGATAAATTACATTGACACCTCCTGATATTTATGTTTATTACAGTTCCCCCTCACCTTTTGGAAATTACATTTCCCTCCCTGAGGTTTAAAGTTTCATTACAAATTCTTCCCTCATCAATTTATTAAATACCAATTTTGCTCTCACTGGGTAAATTACATTGACACCCCTCACATTTTAGAAATTACAATCCCCTCCCTAAGGTTTAAAGCAGCATTACTAATTACCCACTTGGTTAGTATTAGTTGGAAAAAAAAATTCATTAAAAAAAATTAATTGGAAAAAATTTTATTTGAAAAAAAATTAATTGAAAAAAATTTTGTTAGTAAAATTTTTAAATTTCTGTTTAAAAATCAACATAAACTCATTTTTCGAATTTACGTTTTTTCCTCCAATTTACACACAAAGACAACAATTTATAAACCAAAAAAATTATCAAATAAGTTTTTATGATAGTTTTTTAAAATTTTGTAAATATAAATTGAAAATTGAAAACGAAATGGTTACCAAACTGCTCTCAGATGGCAAAAATGTCGTAAAATTAACAAATAATTAAATAAGTTACTAACATAAGAAATGACTTATCAAAAGATTCTTAGGCTATGTATGATTTGATTTTTAGAAAAAAAAATTAAAAATTAAAAATTAAAAATTAATTTGGTTAAGAAATAAAAAATAATTATCATTTAAGGGTAAAAAATAATTATCATTTTAACTTTTGGACAGGTTATATACATACGTATGGCTGTTTCAATTTAATTTGTGAAAAATTATTTCTAACCACTGGAAAGATAAAAATTATATAAAAATGATAATTATTTTTTATTTTTTATTTCTTAACCAAATTAATTTTTAATTTTAAAAAAAAATTCTAAAAATCAAACCATACATAGCCTAAGAATCTTTTGATAAATCATTTCTTACGTTAGTAACTTATTTAATTATTTGTTAATTTTACGACATTTTTACCATTTAAAACCTGTTTGGTAACTATTTCGTTTTCAGTTTTCAATTTATATTTATAAAAATTTTAAAAAATATCATAAAAACTTGTTTGATAATTTTTTTGGTTTATAAATGGTTGTCTCAGTTTGTAAATTTGAGAAAAAACGTAAATTTAAAAAATGAGTTTACGTTGGTTTTTAAATAGAAATTTAAAAATTTCACTAACAAAATTTTTTTCAATTATTTTTTTTTAAATAATTTTTTTCCAATTATTTTTTTTTTCAATGAATTTTTTTTCTAACTAAATACCAACCAAGGGGGCAATTGGTAATACTACTTTAAACCTAGGGATTGTAAATTCTAAAATGTGAGAGGTGTCAATGTAATTTACCCAGTAAGGAAAAAATTAGTATTTAAAAAAATTAAATTGCTAAGGGAGAAATCTGTAATGAAACTTTAAACTTCAAGGAGGGAGATGTAATTTTCAAAAGGTGAGGAGGGAAACTATAATAAATATAAACCTCAAGAAGTGTCAGTGTAATTTACCCAATGTTTTTTCAAATTTTTT